AAATGATTGATCATAGATTTGGTCCATCCAGCTCTTCCAAAATTCCCCCAACGAATCCCTTTTTAAATGCTTTTCTTCCTACAGACACCCTTTTGGATCTCCTTTTTACTCTCATCGGATTCCACCATCCTTTTGGTCAAATTTTAATAAGAACCCATTATTATTTCCATTCAAAAGAAAAAAAAAACAAGGGTTGTTCATTATGATTTGGATAATCAAAATCCAAATACTTGATTACCAAACACTTTTTTTAAAAAGAAAACTATTGTGTAAGACATTAGTGACTTAGAATCCAAGGCTTTATGCCCTTAATTTGGGTAGTTTCTTAGAAAAAGAAACGCAAATTAGCATCCATTTCAACATCCGGATTAGGCGCCGACAGCCACCTTGATTTCCACAAAACCCCAAAAAAGTAATTGTCTTTTGTACTCATTTGAAGCAAAAACGACAGTCAAACTCAAAAACGATTATTCCTTCATAAACATTCAAATCAAACTACGTTACACACACAACTCTATCATTAAATTTATGAACTCAGATGAATTATAATAAACACTGAATCAAAATTCCAAATGACACCCATTAAAATATGGTCTACCAGAAATCCGAGGACCAAAATTCAAATTTTGTTCTGTTGAGAAGACGAGGAGTTAGAACAGAATTCAGCGAACATGTCCATGAAGAATGTGTCCACAATTTCGAGGTATGTTGGACAAGTGAGGCGAGAGTAGTAATGAAGGATCTCTTCAATATCCAAACTATGATGCACATTTCTCGCGTCTAATTTCTCCAACTCTTTGATTTTCTTGGCAACCAAACACACTCTCCTCTCATCGTACTCGTACAACCTACTACTCCTCTTCGACCTCGATTCCCTGTTTTCTTGGGTTTTCCTTTGATGGGTCGCTCCAATTTTGATGCTCTGTTCATTTTTTTCAACTCTGTCCATCTGGGTCTTGTCGATCGTCTTCGAAAAATGAACTGCATTGTTGCCATTACTCTTCGTAAAGCTTCCATTTTGGACCTCGTCCTTAGCCATTTCGGGGCCGGCGGTGAAGGGCGGCGGCGGCGCCTTGGGTAGGCGATGGTAGGTGTTGGAGAAGAAAGATTTGAAGTTACATAAGGTTTTTTGGAAGAATTTTTTGGTGGTGGAAATGGAGGGTAGTAGGAACATTGAGGGGGGTTGTTTTGGTGAGTGAGCGATCCAGTTGAATTGTGTTATGTGGACAGAGGAAGAAGAAGAAGGAGGAGGAGAAGACAATAAATATAAGAGGGGGTTTGGAGTTGGTCATTATGATCCCTCGTTGAAGATTTCTTCATAGAGTAAAGAAAGCCAGAGGAGCCCACCGCCATGGATCACTGTTTTCTTCTCTAATAAATCTAAATTTTCGCCTATACTTTTAATTCCATGGATTCACAACAACTACGACTCTACTTTATGTTTCTCCGAAAGATCTAGTATCAATAAAGATGTATTCTTGGCTTATAAACTCATACCTATCCTTTCTCTTTAGTTCCCCAAAAGTGGGAGTCTTAAATTATATCTAATAATATCATATTTTTACACGAATTTTGTTTTTTTTTTGTTTTGGTTGAACGTTAGATATTGACTGTGTTGTGTTGTTTGGTCTTTTGTTCTCCAATTTCAAGAAATTGATAAAGGGAAGATTTGATCCAAAGGGACTGTTTGTGTTTCTCTAAAGCTGTCCCTGGTTGGTGCATTTAGCCTTTTTAGGAGGAACATAGGAGCGGGTAGTTGTCCCTTAAAAATCACTTCTTTTCTCTCTATATTTCAAAATTAAACCTAAATCAATGTAAGAATCACCATAAGCTCCTTAATTTAAGATATATTTTTTTAAAAAAAAACATGTTTTAAACGATGGAAATTAAAATTGTAACAAGTTTAAATTTAGAATAAAAATGGATAAATTTAAGGGTATTTATTGTAATAAAAAATGAATGGAGATTGAAACATTATCCATATAATTAGGAAGTGTGTGTAATTATAAGTTTAAATTGAAATGTGGTTTGTTATGATAATTTGATATGATGCATCCAAAATGGGAGATTATGAGTTGAAATTTAGAATTTGAATAATTATTCATAATAAAGTACGAAAGCAAGTTATTACTTTTCAATGGGTTTGTTTGTGTATTCATTTGGCATTTGGGACAACAAAGCAATTCCGCTAATCACGCCATCAAAATTCAACATTTTCCTTACTCATTCTTCTTTATTATTAATTAATTAACGAGGTTAATCCCAACCTTTAATTTTATTTTTAAAATATCAAATTCAATGGTTTATTAAATAATAAATCCAGTCCGACTCAATTATAATTTTTTTTGGATGGAGTCCATTTAAGTTGCTCGGGTCTATTATAAAATGTTTATTTATTTTTAAACATTTAATTAACTTTTATCATTCAATTTAAATATAAATTTTAAAAATTTATTAAAATAATTAAAAAATTAGAATCTAATTCAATTATATGAATACAACTCAAATCTTATCTATTAACTTGGATAATTAATTCAACCCATAAAATTTTCGTTATTCGAACATAATTCAAATCCTACCATATACACCAAATTCATCTAACACATTATATTTATATATACTATTTATTGAAAATATATTAAAATGCCTAAGTATAAGGAGTTGATTGGAGGAGGGGAAGCCTCCACCTTCCCTTTCTCATTCTTCCTTTTATACTAGGCCTACATTATTTACGAGAACGACGCTTGGATGATCGGTATATAGATAAGTGATTCTATCGCTATTGGTATTGAGTAGTTGATTGATCTTTGAAAAGTTAAAACATGTTTAAAAAGTACTCGAGATTGTAATAGTCTAGGCCCATGACGAATGCAACAATTCATCTATTTGGAATCAGCATTCTTATTGGTACATTGTACGGTGTTTGCTTCTAATACCATTGTAACAGTTTAAGTGCATTACTAGTAAATATTGCCTGCTTGACCCGTTACGTATTGTCATCGGTCACACGGTTTTAAAATATGTTTACAAGAAAGAGATTTCCATAAGTAGGGTAGAGGGCAGGTAGAGGGTTGTATTTAGTGTGGGCCAAAAAGTAGAATGTAAGCAGAAGAGTGATCGGGGCGTCAGAGACACCTGAAAACGAAGAAGAAGAAGAAGAAGAAGAAGAAGAAGGGTGATGCAGAAGAGTGATTAATGATCCGTTGACACAGACATTGATGATGATTCATCAATAATGGGTTTCCTTAGCTTTGTTTTGTATGAACCAAAAAGGGGAGCTCAGCCCTGGACCTGTGCTGTAAAAGCCCATCACACCAGACGTTGGAGCACAAAACACAGGCTCAAAACCCCACGGCTTACCACACACCATTTATTCACCAAACACACCCAATTCCTTTTTAGCCCACTCTTTCTCCTTGCCTCTCTGCCCCTTCCTTTATAATCTTCCAAAAGTTTTCCTTTTTTTTTTTTTTTTTTTTAAAAAAAA